CTTCATTTAACCTGGCCAAGTGTAAAATTAAAGGTTAAAGGTCAGTGCTAATACCTTGGGGTGACTGGGATCAAGTCTGCCATTTCAGCTCAACTGCTAAATATTGTGCTTTTGTTCTTCCCTTTAATTGTAATAATGATGATCATCATCATGTGCACAATCCTCACAACAGTGATGTTAACAGAGAATCTTATAAAACCAATTATGATACTCCAGTCTTAGTTTTATTTTTTTTTTTATTTATTAGTTTCTATTTTATGAACTTATATGACAAAGTGGAAAAAATGAAGCATTTCATCCTTTAGGACTTCATCAGACTACAGTGATGTTTATGTTGATGTGATTATACATGTACATACAGGAAAGGAGACATTGAAATTTTAAATTTAAATTAAAGTTTAAAACAAAATATGTTTGGTTACAGAATTAGCCAATTTCATTAACTTCTTTTTTCTTTTTTTTTGTTTATGTTTTTATTACTTTTGTTGTTAAATATCATCCCACTTTGTGATAATAGAAGATCTGCCACAAAAGGTGAAATGTTTATAAGAACCTGCACATAAATTAATTGATCTAGTAAAAACACTTTCTATGCCCTTTGCTTTCTATTTTAATTAAGGTAACATTTTTTAAAATCATAATTATGGCCAAACTCATTACGGTGAGCAACATGCATTGATTAGCTGATTTTATTTAGCGGAATATCAACCTCTGCAGGTCATGTAATGCAAAAATCTAATTATTTTTAATGCATTTTATGCTTTCAACTACAGATATTTTGTACATAATTTTATACTTTCACGGCAAACATATGTTTTATATATATATATATATATATATATATATATATATATATATATATATATATATATATATATATATATGTGTGTGTGTGTATTTTTTGTAAATAAATAAAATTGTATTGTTTATAATTTTATTATAAAAATATATTTTTTATACTTTTTTTTAGTGTTGTATTGATAGTCATTTTGCTATAAAAATATTTTGTTGATCATTTTACTACAAAAATGTATTGTTGGTCATTTTATTATAAAAAGTATTGTTGGTAATTCTACTCTAAAATTTATTGTTAATCATTTTGCTATAAAAATATTTTATTGATAATGGTTTAATTTTTTTTATAAAAATGTATTACTGGTAATTTCACTAAAAAATGATTTGTTCATAATTTTTTTATATTTTTTTTTTGGTATTTCTGCTATAAAAAAAAAAAGATGTTTTGTTCTTTGTTTGGGTGTTCACTATTTTCCCATGGCTGGGACCCTAATAGGTGTTACCACCCCAAATTAGGGTGGACCTGGGAACAAGAGCAATTAAGAGGTGGTTTCACACTCCACAAAATCTTCAATCTCCTAATCAGAGGCCTTGCTGTTAGATGTAGTTTATTGTCATACCCAGGACTAACATTCATTGAGTGTGTTGTTTTGTAAGAGATCACTTTTGCATTCATATAATTATTTATTTAAATTTCTTGAGGTTTCTTCTATGTATTTCTTGTAACAGTTATTACAGGTGACAGAGTAAATTCCCCTCCAAGTTTTAGCTTATTATTTTGTTTTGACTTGAGTCTTTCATTGTTTTGGAAGATATTAATTTCTATATTATTAAGTCTTATGAAAATAATTTTGTACAAAACTTTTATTCTGAGATGAAATTATTATGTTGATGTAAATAATGATGGAGGTAAAAGTAATGATATGGGGGCCAATTAGTTGGCAAGGTAAGAAACAAAAAAGTAAATATCTAAATATTATATCCATCCAATATATTGGTATTATAGATTGGAGGCAAAAGACTGAAAGTTATAAGTTTCAGTCAAAGAGTTGAGTTGAAAGCAAAATGTTTTCAAAAACTACCTTGCTGGCAAAAATATGATTTTTTTTATAATTTTTGATTTTATGTTTTATGATATATCTTTATATATTGTACGTAGCAGACTGTTCAGCTGAGAGAGTTTGCATTCACTTCATATTAATGTCAATGGAAAAGACATGAATCTATGGATCTTCTCCATTTATGGTTTAAATAGGGAAGCAGACTAGGCTCTTTAGCCTTGGTTGGTAAACAGTCTAGAAGATGACCCTGATTTTAAAGTCATGGAGAAAAAAAATTCCCTATTTTTCTCAAGAACAATCATAGCAATGCACAGTTTACAGCTATTAAAGAAAAAGAGGAGATTTGGAGAGCCATTATCACTTACATCTTGAAGAGATATAGCATTAAAAACAAAAAAAAAATGTAACAAAAACAATAAAACTATAGATATCTCAAGTCAGATAATTGTTAAATCCGTTTGAGTTTTTAAAAAAGAAAAAGTGAGAATCATTTGTAGAACTGTTACCTTTTTTTCAATATTTGTAACACATTAAATATTCTAGTGGTTCTCCTAACAGGACTGAAAATAATGATGTAGTAGTAAATAATAATACTGAAAATGACGATGATAACCATGATAAAAATCCTGATACTAATGTTATCAGTAATAGTAGAGATGATATTATATTTTTCATAATAATGACAGGCAAGAGTACCTTACATTTTCCAAGGAAAAAATGACTTCATATATAATAAACATAGGGGGAATGAATATGTTCCTTAATATATTTTATTGTTACATGACATAACAAATGGAAAAAGGATTATTGACACTATTTATACTTGAGTAAATATCTGCTACTGAAAAAATATTCTGATGACCAAAACAAAACAACAATCTAGTTTCTTATCATGTCTTTTGGGTTCATGATTTTAGTGCTTATCCTGCTGGTTGGAAATATGAAAAGATTGGTTAGGAATTGAACAGTCGAATAAATAGAGTTGGCCATGGGAAAAGTATGAAAGAAAGCTGACGTCAACAATCTTGAGTGATTGTTGCTGTTCTTTGTTAATGGTTATAACAAAACTGAGCATTATTGGAAATTGAAGTTACTTAAATTCAAAGAGCAAGTCTGTTGTAATTAGGATGTGACTGTTCCTGCAAATGATCTTATTCTTGTTTAGGATAATTGCTTCAAGACATTTGGGAGAAGCAGTTTGGCAGTGAGACAAGTTGCATTTCACAACTTTGTGGGGTTGATGTAGGGTGTCCAAAGTTTTAGTTAAAAACTCTTAGGAGGAAAACCATGACATTCAAGAGAAAGAAAACTGGGCTCTGGACAGTCTCTGAAGTTTTTGAAATTATATCATTTGGTTTGCACAAATAAACAACTCCAAGTATTTTCTGCAACATTTATGCATTTATTTTTTTGAATGTATCATTGGAGTAAGAGTACCTCACTCACAGAGTTATTAGGAGTTTCTGTAGCTTGGGGTCATTTTTACATATAATGCAGCTTAAAATATCAAGTTTAATCTTAAATATTTTAGAATTTTTATCCTAAAATGTGTTTTTTTTTTTACATTATTTGGACTATTGCCCTCATCTTTGTCGCCATATTTATTACAACATTTTGGTGGTTGGAATGTTAAGTTTGACATTCCAACCACCTGAAGAAGGCTGGAGCATACAATGACTGAAATGTTGTAATAAATATGGCGACAAACTTAACCCTTTATTTCGCTCACTGGGGTAGACTGTTCTAGTTCCACATGCTATGTTTTAATGGATGTCAGTTATCAGTTATCTCCTGCTAATTTCCCTTTGAAAGTTCTCACACTCTTTGGCTCCAGTCACTGGATCTAACCAACGCCTTTATCCACTTGTTCATGTTTTTACCAGAGCTCATATTGCAACTTTTGTTGTTATTATCGCTTTTCTCTGGCACTCCTTATTGCTGGTTCCCATATTGTATTCATTTCTATGTTTGGTCGGCTCAGGAGATTTTTGTGGCCTAGCATAGTGGCTGTATACACATCTCACACTGCAACTTCCTAAGACAAATTTCACTGCAAGGAATGTTTCATTTAAAAGATGTGTTGTTGTTAGATGTTCGGAATCTGGACAACAACAAAAACCTGGGTAGACAGATCCTAACAAGTTTAACAACTACAAAATATCTGTAGGAATTTCTCTATTGTATCATTAAATATTTGAGCTTAACTGCTTTATCGAAATATTGCAATAACAACCATAAGTATGAATGCAGGTCATTATTTAAAGAAGTAAGAGGATACAAATGTAAAGATTTCCATTTTGCTTAAGTAGATGTTAAACACATGAGTGCTATCACCTCCTTTATCCTCTCTTTCTTTCTTTTTTCTCACTGTAACCAAACAACATCTCTGATATGTCTTTTCTATCTTTCCTTGTTATCAAACAGAATAATCAATTATTTATGATGTATTGACAGGGTATAAGATCTGTACTAATTAACTAACGAACAATCAGATATGATGATAGTAATATCATTAATAATGCTGATGATGATAATGAGGAATGTAAAGAAGGAATTAATGATATTAATATTTTAATTATAAAATTCAAGTTCTTTTTCTCTGCTGGTTTGTGGTTCATTTGCATTATCTAGGATGACAAACATTCGCCAAAATAATAATCAGTGGCAGTACTATTACTAAAACTTTTTATTTATATCTGCTCCAGATTCCTTGACTTCTGTTTACCAATCTTCTCCACCCCAAAACCATGGATGGACATTTTTGATTTGTTCAATAGTCAGCCACTCTTGATCCTCTACGCCTACATTTTTTGTCACCTGATCCGTATTTTGACCCTTGTGGATTGTAGAGCAACTGTTGCTAAAATTTAGTCAGTGATAAGCTCTTACCAAAAGTAGAAATAATGTCTAGATTTGCTAAACCTGACCCAACTCTCTTCTCTGCTACCAAACTTTTCCACTCAGACTCTCTTATTGCTAGCCTATAATTCAGACTCTATTTATACAACTTAAATGTTCTTTTCTTATAGATTTTCTCTGCTATTTTCTGGTCCTCTTATCCATATAACTATTTTGTGTTGACAGAAGGTTGGTTTGTAAATCACTCTCTTGTGCTTCTGACTATTACTAACCCATTTATTTTCTATGCATGAGGTCAGTATTGATAGTGTAACAAAAAATATCTTTCTGTTTTTAGCTGTCATTACTATTGTTTAACACTTTGGCTCTTTTTGGAATGTTGTATTCATGAACAGAACACAAATGCAACAAGTTAGTTCTAAGGAAAACAGGAATGATAAGCAAGCTTATATTTACAATCAGAAAGAGTCTACTGACATTTCTTAGATACTGTCGCAAAATTCGGTCCAAAAAATAGGAAGGGAAACAGGTTGGTCTCTCGTAAAATTAGGTCCAAACAATAGACGGGACGGGTTGGCCCGGCACCGCCTGTTCCTCGAAACACTCCTCAGCTTAACGACAGCTACAATCCAGCTACAACAACTCCACAGATCTTTGCACTCAAATGTTCCAACACCGCCCTCGTGATTCGACAACAACAAAAACTCTGGTCTCCCGCCGTCACATTTATCCCAGCGAACACCAACCAATTTGCATACGCCCAAGTTCTCTCTTCGCCAATCCTCGCCACGAGATCGCATTTCCATAAGTTCGACTCAACCAACTACAAAAAACGAACTCTCTATGCCGAGAACTGAGGTTAGTCTCATTTCCACACTCCACCCCTGGTCTCAAGATCAAATGTGGCATTGGCGGACGCCGGTCGCTTTGTTGCGGCATCATTAAATTGTCTGGATTTCTTTCATCGACTCTCAGAAGGGGCGTCGAACTATCAGCATCAGCTGGGATCCGCAGAGTCAAACCATCAGGCCCGAAATAGGCTGATCCACAGTTCATCGCTGGATGATTCACCACTGCTGCTATAGTCAACTGGTTCAGATTTAGGGCGGCCGACATCCTTCACATGGCGTGGAGTAATGCTTGCTCATTGACGATGCGGTGATTCGCTTTTCGAAAGCTGGTGGTGCACCGCCTATTGGAGAACCCAGACGGTGTCCCCTACCTTATCGGCCCTCGTGTTTCCCGGATCAGGCAAACGCCAATGCCCTTTGTTGCGCAAGCGATGGATTTTGGCCATTTTGCTTATCTATAGACCGCCTCGATGTTTCCTGGCCGCGAAACACACCGCTGATGCCGTTGTCTGAGCCGGATCCCCCACCTCGCCTAAACTTTTATCCTCTCTTTTCTTTCTTTTTTTCTCCTGTCTTACTAATGGGCGCCAGATTGCGAACCAAATCAACATGGGTTATGTCCATCCCAGTGATATGTCTTTTCTATCTTCCGCCATTTAGCCTTGTTATGGCAATTCCTTCACCAGAATAATCAATTGATTTCAACTGTATAGTATTCCGACACTGTTGGGTGTATCTCCTTGATTTTGTCCGCCGCCTTAACAGATCTGTACTTTCTTCGCATTAACTACACGAACAATCAGATATTTGATGATAGATAGGTTGTACTCATTAATAATCTCGCTGATGATGTGTCCGATATCCAGTGAGGATGTGTAATTTCTTAAACTGAGTGCCAGGTTGATGCCTTAATGATATTGAATATTTTAATTATAAAATTCAACAGCACACCAATCGCCAGAGAGCTTCTTTTCAGTTCGTCTCCTGGTTTGTTTACGGGTCATCCTGCTTTTCTTTTGGTTCATTTCGTCCGCTGTTTCATCGTCCCAGCCTTTTGTGACTAGGATGACCAAACATTAGATGCCCCACAAGTCTTCCACACAGGAAATATATAATCGGGTACTTCAGGAACTGCAGTTCAGTACTAACGCTTACTAAAAAACTTTTCCTGCATTTCAGCCAGTTTGGACCTCTGTGATGACTCACAACGCCTTTCGTTCACATATATATCATCAAGGTACGCCATGTCCCCTCTTTTATTGTTTCTTCCTGTGACAACTTGGTCTTCATTATTTGGGGTGCCACGTTCAGCCAATAAGGCTTCCTCCGGCAAACACCACCGCCTGAAATGGCCATGCAGGTATTTTCTTAGGACATTTTTGATTTGTTGCTGGCAAAAGTCAGCCACGCATCAACATTGAGTCCTCCATCACGCCTACATTTTTTGTCACCTGATCCGTATAGGGGTAAGGAATCAACCAGCCATTTCCATTCACGGAGCTCCCTTCGTATGGATTTTGATCGGGCACATGGTAGGCTAGCAACTGTTCCTGAGCTAGGTGGTCCAATTTGCTGTGGTCAAATTCGTGATAAAGTCTCTTCGATCCTCAGAGCTGCAAACTGGGGCCCTAGAAACTGTATGTCCCGCTCATTTGTAAACCACCTAAAGCTCTGATGGCATCATACTCCTAGAAGCAGGTCAAACTTTTTTTCAGACACCTAGCAGACTCTCTTACCCCGCAACACCTTCGTGTTTCTCCACTGATGGTGGTCACCCTACACTAATTCAACCGAATCGAAGTGCCAGCACAATGTCTCATATTTGGATGATCAACATCTAATTTTCTGCTTAGGAAGAGGTCGACGCTTTTGTCCCCGCCCCGCTTTTTCTAGCATAACAGCCGTTTTCCTCTCTGGCCCTGGCCACCGCATTTAACATACCATTCTACCACGGGGCTCCCCTTATCACCGGCGTGGACTATAACTATTTTGTGGTCCTGGCCCGGTCTACCAGGTCATTAAGGGACAACGAGTCTATGCTTAAGCTCACTCGCAGGAGTTGGTTTGGGAGCCCCACCAGAAATTTGTATGCCAAGGCACTCTCAGTCCACCCAACAACACCGGGCAACTTCCAGATGAGATACTATTACTTGCCTCAAGTAAAGTTCCCATTTATTTTCAGTGGCGGGGTCGATAGCAAACGCCTTGATAGGTCATTCTCTTTATAATGATGAGCTGTTGATACAAAAAAAGCCCCATAACATGTTCAATGTTTTTATGCCAGACAAGAGGCAATGTAATTCCACTTTTTTCTACCAGTCAAGTACCGGGTTGAGCCATTACTCAATTTCAGGTCGAATCTGTCCCCATTAAAATAGCTTTTGTCCAAACAATAGGAAGGGAACAGGTTGGTTTTGGTCCAAACAATGTTGGGTTGGCCCGGCATTCTTCCGAAACACTCCTCAGCTTAACGACAGCTACACCAGCTACAACAACTCCAAGATCACAAATGTTCCAACACCGCCTCGTAGTTAGTTCTAAGGAAATCCCAGCAGGAATGATAAGCAATCAAGATTTATAAGTTAACTCACCGAAAGGTGTCTTTCTTCGACCAATTACTTACACGCCAGACACAAACGAACTCTTATGTGCCGAGAACTGAGGTTAGTCTCATTTTCATGTCCACAGATACATTGTGAAGAAAGAGGGCCTGGAGAATCTAACACTCACTGGGTATACTTTGAAATCAAGAGAAGTTGGAAGAAGAAAGTGAGTAACATACTTTAATGAATTTTTGTAAATGGTTGGTGCAACAAAGACAGAGACGGATTGTAAAGAGGAGCAAGAAAAGACAGGAATTTGTAAAGAGTCATCATTACCCATTTCCTGAAGGGAGATGGTGTATAAGAGAAGATAATAGTTACAAGGGAACACACATTTTTCAATAGAACTATATAATAATCAGTAATGGGGGTCCAAAGCATGTTCTGTGTATTGTGGCAAGAAAGAAGATATTTTTGTACAAAGTTAATAGATTTTTGTAGAATATGTTTGAAATTAGTCAACAAGTGTTTGGGTGATAGAGATGAAGACTATTCTAATATCACCTAATATATTATTTTTATATTAATTATCTTATGGGTCCTTAGGCAAGCATGGGCTCAATATACTTGCCATTGCTATACCTTTTCTCATTGGATCTAATATATATATATAATTAGACAGTGCACTGTTGAACAAATGCTTTTCAGCTACTGTCTTGACAAACAAGACTGTTTTATTGTCTACCATGTTTTATTAGTAAAACTGTCTATTTCATCCATCCATCTACTGTCTTCTCACTTTGGACACCAACCTTTTACTCCATCCATTATCCTTTCTTCTTGCAACCTTTTGTGTTTTCTAGCCATTTCATACCATCCTTTTGCTCCATACATTATACTTTCTTCTTGTACACTTAATTCATTAATAAATATCAATCTCATAGTTTGAACATTATACATTGTAAATTTTGCATCAAAATTCAACTCATTATCTGTTTGTTAGGCTACATACTTATTGATCCAACCTCATAAATATATACATGTGGTCATTTTAGTCATGTGATGTTACAATTTATTCCACCACTATAGCATATAAAACCATATTCATTTCAAACTTCACCAATTAGCAGCGTAAATGCACAACCTCCTGACTTCTTTCTTTCACTCAAAAATGCCTGACAATGTTTGAAAGTACTCAGTACATTACATAAAATTTTGGAAGTTCCATTGCAAATTTCCACTTGATGTCAAATTATTTGACATCAAGAGAAACTCAACAAAAGGCTTAACAAACATTCCTTGCCCATTGTTTAATAAAACATTTAAACTAAAGATTGCTGTGTAAATATGTTTGTCTGTATGTCTATACACATTTACAGTGAATTCTGCTTAAGCAAACCATATCTGGGTCACAAATTCTGGACCCTAAAATGTTTCTTTTAAATAGATTTGTATAAAATAGGCAAAATATTACATAAAATTGTATAAAATGGACAAAATATTATAAAAATTTCAATCCATTCTTGTAATCTGGTCTAAATGGTTATTGTAATTGATGTTCAGATTAACCAGAATCCACTTTATATGCATTTATTTATTGTGCCATTTGATGTTCCCACTAATAATTCATTAGAGACTGAATTATTGATTTCAGAATGAAGAATTCATGTACCATAGAATGAATCTGTTAAAAACACACAGTTGCTTACATTCTTAAACACACACATGCACACGCACGCTCTCTCTTTCCAAGTAAAGAATGTCTCTTATTAAATTTGAAATTCCTCTCTCAAGGTCAAAAAGGATCATGTTGAGAATCGCTGTGCTGAAGAAATGAATATTTTGCCTTCAGATCTGGTTGTGTTTAAATATGTTTAATGCTTGGAAGTCAGCTACATGGCTTCACTTTTTATCTTCTGTTGGAGGGGGGTCTTACATTTATGCTTTGTTGTAAGATAGAATTTTAATTAATGCTGCAGGCTTAAGGACCATGTTAATAAAGGGTTTCAAATCTACAGGATGCAAATTGTCAAAGTATCATTTCTGGGATTTTAATACCAACAAAAGATAATAAAATGGTAAGGAGAAGATAGAAGGAATTATTTTGGAAGCAATAATATAGATGTTGATGATTATGTTGATGTGGAAAGAAAAGTTAATGATGATCAAATGGAATTAGGGAATTAGTATGAAGATGATACTAACAATGAATTTTATAACAAATACATTCAATTTTATTTATATATTTAGTACAGTACAATATGTTTTTATTAACTGTGCCAAAAAACCCTTTTTCTCATTATTTATTAACAAGTTTGATCATGCCATCAAAATGAAATAACTCTTTACTATTATTAGAAGGTTCTAAATATATATTTGCAGCTATATTTTTTTTTAATTCTACATTCTATCAGAGTGTAGATGATCATAGCTCTATATAGATTCCCTTTTTTATGAATATGTGACTTGCCATGACTTCTTGGGAAATATAGTGGAGTGACAACCCATTGCTTCCTCCACAGTTTTAGATTGAGATTTCTGTTAGTCTGGCTAACATCCAAGGCTAGAGAGCTCAGTATACCCTGCTATTTTTTTAACCCTTTTTATATTTTTAACCCTGAATTGAATGAAATGTTATTGATAGAAGGTTGTTTATTTTTTATGGTTAAGTCTTATAATATTTGTAGTCATTTTTACACGTTATATGAAATAGGATTATGTATTACCAGGACCAATAACATTGCAGATACTTCTTTGGATTTTAGATAAATTATGGAGAGAAAGAATTGTTTAGCATAACACAGGGAATCAACTTTTCTAGCAGCAGATTTAGCACTTGATTCAATATAATCTTTTCACTTCATGTCAGCAGAGAACATTAGCCCAAGAAGGTACAATGAGTCAGAATTACTGCAGAATGATCAAGAAGTGTGGCCATGCAGGACAACTTTCATTTCACAATTTGGTAAGAAAAATTGATTCAATTAAAAAATTTGTTCAGAAATGCCATAACCTTTCAACTTGTAAAGAAGACCAGTATGTCAAATGCCTTCAAGATGTCCAAAGCAGCAACCAGAACTTCAAATTCTTATCTGAGGCTTGAAAGACTCTTACGGCAATAATTGTTAATAGATCAGAGGTTGATTTA